TTTTTTCATGCATGTTTTTTTGTAGTTGTTGTTTGCTTTCCTTGTAGTGTTCCTAGCGACGTCTAGGATGTCGGGGAGACGATCTACCTCTCAAATAGAAGATCAACCTTGTATCTTATTACCTGTTTTCCTTTGATTTTTGTAAGAGTAGCCCTTAGTTGTGTTTTGCACCTATCTACTGCAATTTTGTCGTGGTTTGTTTGCCGATTTCGGTGCCGAGGCGTATCAAATTGGCATCAGAGCATAGATCTTGATGGGATGACATCAAATAAAATTGATGTGGTAGAAGGCGAGATAGGACAAATCAAATCATGAATGGAAGAGAGGTTCGCCAAAATGGAGGGCATGTTTTCTTCCATTGAAAGTCGAATGAAATATGAATTTAAAAGCGTAAAAGAAATGTGGGAGATGATGGAAAAACTTATGGAGATTCAAGCCAATGCCGCACCAATCGCTTCAATTGCCAATTCTAATAAAGGGTTGATTAGAGAATCCTTGGCTAGGTCGAAAGGGAAGGGGATCGAGCGAGAAGACAATAAAGAAGGGCTCATCTATCTATAAGATCGTCCCCCTAGGACTCCGAGAGAAGGGAAAGTGGAGACTTCTGATGGAGGGTAATTGGCCGAAAATGGGAGTGATGGTGTAAGGGGCACGGAAAAGCACGATGGAAGAATTAGAGATTTAGGAGCAGGATGTGCCTATGACCGAAGGAGGGAGTTCCACCTTAGACACATGGGGGAAATACTGGGGAACAGAGAGTCAGGGTGGAGATGCAAGGGTCAGAAAATTGAAGATGTCAATCTTCGAAGGGAAGGATACACATGATGGGTGTATCGGGTGGAGCGATACTTTGCGATCAACGAGTTGACTGAGGAAGAGAAGCTCATGACAATGGGATTATGCTTGGAGGGGAAGACTTTTGTGTGGTTCCAATGAATGAAGGTAAGATATCTGATATACTCATGGGAGGAGTTTAAGGATTGTTTATTGGGACATTTTCGAGCTATTCAGGATGGAGACCTACACGAGCAATTTTGTGCTATGACTCAGGAGAGGACGATTATGGAGTACTGAGAAAAGTTCGTGCTCTTGTCAGGGAGGTTGAGAGGGATTTCAACAGCGGGCTTGGAAGAGAACTTTTTGAAAGGCCTGAAGCATGACATATGAGCGATCATCTGCCCATTGAGACCACATGGATTGAGGGAAATGATGGAGCTCACCCAGATGATGGAGAATAAGAAACAGGTGAAGATTGAGGCGACAACACAAGTGGATTCTATAAGTGCACCATGACAGCCACGACACCAATGACCCAGACGATGACATTTCAAAAAGAGATTTCGAAGGAGTAGAGTACCGAACCCCGACTTGAGGGTAATTTCAAGCGCCTCACAGATGCATAAGTACATGACAAAAGAGCCAGATAATGGTGTTACTGTTGTGACAAGAAATACGCTCTTAGACACCGTTGCAAGGAGTGCGTCGTTGAAGTTCTTTTAGTCCAGAAGGAGGATACAAAGAGTTAGAAATTAAAAGAGGAAGTAGCGGAGGAACATCTGCATTTGAATGTGGCGGAGGTGTCCCTCAATTCGGTGGTGCGATTTACCCCGAATCACACAATGCAGTTGAGGGGTGGATCGGGGAACAACCAATTGTGTTGTTGGTGGATAGCAGGGCCACACATAAATTTATCTCAAATCAGGTTGTGAAGAAGTTAGGGTTGAAGCTGGTGACTACAGGGAGCTTTGGCGTCATGATGAGATATCGAATTGTAGAGAAAAGACGAGGAGTTTGCAGGGGGTTGATTCTGACACTACATGACCTACAAGAGGTGGAAGATTTCTTTCGTTTAGATTTGGGAAACACAGATATGATTATGGGGCTGAAGTGGCTGCGATCATTGGGAGAGATAAAGATAGATTGGAAGTCCTTGAGGATGGAGTTCTAAGTAGAGGGTAGGAAGGTGGTGCTGGGAGGAAATGCTAGCTTATGGAAAACCATGGTGTCGCTCAAACCATGGTCAAGTCGATTTGGGAAGCAGGACTAGGTTACTTTATGGAGTTGCTGAGCATTGAGGATGTTCGAGATTCAGAGTTGGCAGAATTTCCGGAGGGGGTCTAATAGCTCATACCGCAGTTTACAGATGTTTTCTAGCAATCAATCAGGTTACCACCTCGGAGGGAGCACGTGCACGCTATTTCATTGAAAGATGGTGTTTATCCCATTAGCGTCAGACTATATAGGTGCCCTCAGATTCAGAAGGATAAGATAGAGAAGCTGATCCAGGAGATGCTCGAGGTTGGAATTATTAGGCCTAATGTGAGCCCTTCTTCTGTCCTGTCCTGTTGGTGAAGTAAAAAGATGATAGTTGGAGATTATGCCTGAAGCATTGGACTACTGGGCTTTAAACAAGGAGACAGTGTTGGACAAGTTTCTTATTCTGTGATGTATGAGTTGTTAGATGCGCTTTATGAGGCAGTCATTTTCTAAAAAATGATCTTTAGTCAGGGTACCATTAGATCAGGATGAAGCCAGCTGATGTGCATAAGACAATATTCTAGACACATGAAGGATGTTATGAGTTCTTAGTGATGTCGTTTGGCCTCACCAACACCCTAACGCCAATTCAATCCCTCATGAATAATGTTTTTCAACCTTAACTCAGGAATTTTTTTTTGGTTTTCTTTGATGATATCCTGATCTACAATCTTACAGAGACAGAGCATGTGGGGCACCTGAGGACAACCTTGGAGGCGTCGAGGAAGCACTAGTTATATGCTAACTTGAAAAAATATTCTTTTGCTTAGTTATAGGAGTACCTAGGACATGTGGTGATAACAGTGGATCAGTTCAAGTTCGAGACTATGGTTGATTGGCCATTACCGAGGATTTCAAAGGAGTTGAGAGGATTCTTGGGACTTACGGACTACTAATGGAAGTTTGTGAGAGGATATGACACAATAACATGATCATTGACTAAGCACTTGAAGTAAGATAATTTCAATTGGGGAAAGCATCCACGACACATTTGAGCATTTGAAGGGGGCCACAATTAGCGTACCGGTATCAACGCTTCTAGATTTCAAAAAACTATTTGTGGTGGAGACAAATGCATTAGGACACTGATTAGGAGCAGTGCTCACATAGGATCAACTACCATTTGACCATTTTAACCAGGTTCTTACAGCCAGAGCGAGACTAAATTCAGTATATGAACGAAAATTGATGGCGATTGTCTTGACAATTCAGAAGTGACGACCCTACCTGTTGGGACTACATTTCTTGGTTATGACAGATTAGAGAAGTTTAAAGGATCTTCTAGATCAACGGATGGTGACTGAAGAACATCAAAGATGACTGTCCAAGCTACTGGGGTATGATTTCAAGATTCAGTACCAGCCATGTTGGAGAACAAGACAACTGATGCAGTATTGAAAAAGGTGGAGGAACTCCAATTGACGACTCTATCGGTACCCTAGGTCTTAGATTGGGAGGTTTTGAGATAGGAGAGCGAAAGAGATGAGGAGCTGCGGAGAATAATAACTAAATTACTACATGACCCGAATAGTCATGTAAGATACGCATTGAAGGGACAACAACTACTCTACCAGGGGAGATTCATGCTACCCAAGTCGTCGAAGTATATTCCCAGATTATTACAAGAGTTTCATGACAGTGTGATTATAGGACATTCAGGGTGCATAAGACATACAATCGTCTGGCGGCAGAGCTTTATTGGGTATGGATGCACAAAGATGTAGAGGACATGGCAAAATATGATGTGTGCCATCGACATAAGTAATTGGCCACAACACCATAGGTGCTACTACAAGCATTAACATTGCCAGAGAAGGTTTTGGAGGAAGTGACGATGAATTTTATCGAGGGATTGTTCCGGTTAGAAAGGTTCACAGTGATTATGGTGGTCGTGGATCTCTTAAGTAAGTATGCACATTGCATTCCATTATGACATCCTTTCACTACGGTCGCAGTCGCGGTGGTGTTTATCCGTGAAGTAGTCCGTTTGCACGGGGAGCCAAAATCGATTGTATCGGATAGGGGCAAGGTGTCTCTCAACCACTTATGGAAAGAGCTATTTAGGTTGCAATGAACAATCCTAAAAAGAAACACCACATATCATCCCTAAAGAACATGAGGTGGAGACAGACCTGCGTTGTTATGTATCTGTACACCGAAGTTATGGGCTAAATATATTGCATGGACCAAATATTGGTGTAATGCTTCGTACCACACCGCAACACAGACAACCCTTTCAAGATATTGTATGGGCGGGATCCACCTCACTTGATACATTATGGGCAAGGACTGAAAAACTAACTTTCAGAACCTTAATACAATATATATATGTATGTATATATATATATATATATATATATATATATATATATATATATATATATATGTGTGTGTGTGTGTGAAATGACCATAAAGGAGGGAAGGATACAAAGAAATGCGTTGAAAATTGGAAAGAAAAATAAAGAAAGGGCATTCAGTTCGGTTCAGTCTTGATTGCAGGACCTGGGTGCCCGATACCTGCAAATTCGAGATCGCCTGTCCTTGTATGCGGACACTACCGCGTCAAGTAAGGTAAGAGGTAAATATTCGTTTGTTAGATGTAAAGCTTTTGAAGTATTTTAAACTTTAAAAAACACGCAGTAATAGGAATCTGACGGATAACGTGTTCACCTTTATAGCATGTAGCGTAGTTTTTTACTTGAATGTAAATTCCAACTTCTCCTTTTAGTTGATTTTTGGTTTCTGGTTTTGGTTTTTGCCTTGAATGTAGTTTCAATTTGTCTCTTATGGGGCTTTTCTTCCTCAGATGATCAATGATACTTGCCTTTCACATAATTTTTTGAATAGATTCATGTATATTCTATCCAAGTTTCTTGTCATATATATGCTTTTTGAAATTTAATTTCTTATATATTTTTAGTTATGCTAGTCTATGGCCTTTCTAATCAATTATGTTTTTTTAGACGTCCATGGGGTGCGCTTTCCCCAATTCCAGAAAACAATGCCATCGCTGTGGACAAAGAGGTTGATTTCTTAAATTGCTTTTCTATGTCGTGGCTGCTGGTTTATTATCCGTGTTATTACTTTTTTTCTTTGATTCTTTTCACTTCAGCTTCAAATGAGGCTATTGTATGGATATTTGGGATAATAGGCCAAACTTAATCATAGAAAATGATCAGAAGGAACCTGACTTTATTTTTGTTTTTAGGATGGATCTATTTTCTCAGCTGCTGGCGATTCCTGTGCTTATTGTTGGGATATGGTATGTATATGTTTGCGGCGATTCAAGTTTTTTTTCTATCATCATAGAAAATAATGTAATTATTTGGTTACATCAGCATTTTAGTTTAACTTTGTTCATATAACAATATTCTATATAATTGCAAGCTTTCATCTGCTTTATTTCTGTTTGTTGATGACTAACTTGTTCGTCCTACTATGATGATTCATTTCCTCCATATTTTAAGTTTGTGATTTATTCTTTCATGAATTAAGGATGTTCCTTTAAGTTTCATCATTCATGTAAAAATATTTGTGTTTTTTCTAATAGTTACAGCTTTGTTATTAATGTGCTTGCAATCTAACAACAATCATCATTAGCTTATTCCAATTACTTGCTATAATAGTTATTCTATATTCCAAATCAGTGCGTGTTACACAAGATATTAATTTTATTCTGCGCAAATGAGCTTTGACAACTTTAGCAATCTCGCTTTTATTCTCACAATTTCTTTTACCCGTCCTTTCATTTAAGTTTTCTATCTGTTTTATCACTGCATATTTAATCTGTTTTTTACATGACCAATCAAATTTCTATTTTTAACTATCAATATTTTTTTAGTAGGAGCTACTCCCACCATTTTTATAATATATGATCATATGTCAGTTTGACCTTAGTTTCTTCACATACTATCTTAAGAGTTTTGGTTTATACCAGATTTTACTTAGCTCTCAATGGCTTATTTCCCAGCAGTTAGATTTAGGGAACATAAATGATCTAATTATAGTTCCTGAAATAGACCTTTTAGTCTCCATAATTCTCTCATTATAGGATGGTTGAGGTATTTCTCCATTTTAACCACCCAGTGTTGTTTCTATCCACCTGCAATTCTATCCGCATTCTTCTGTACAAGGGTAAAAAAATGTTTTAATTCTTTTTGTTAGCTTATTGTTTCTTGTAGCCATATGAACTATGCTTTTGTTGATATTGCTTTTTTTAGGAGACAGGCAAAAAGAAAATTGTATTCAAGGGGCACTCAGATTACCTGCACTCTGTTACTGTGCGTAAATCCAACAATCAGGTATTTGTTTTAAATTTATTTTGTTGTTTTTAATTGCAAAATTAACTTCTCCTCTGTGGTCTTCAAATAAGCATGTGAAATAATTTGCTATTCTATGGAATCGATTTTTTAAAAATAAGTTTAGATTTGTTTTATTCCACGTTCGGTGTGCGAAAAATCTTAATTATAATGAAGCTGTACTATTAAACATCGAGGAGTTTTTTGGTGTAACAATTAAAATTTCATCAGAAATTCCAAAGTCGTGTGTTTGTTTGGGAGCACCCTTAGGATGGGTTATCTCTCAGGAAGTTACACCATTGGGACAAAACTATGAGGCCATTTAGTCAAAGCAGACGATATCTTGATGTTTATGCATTCAGCTGCAATATTGAACGAGCTTACAACAACAACAACAACAACAAAGCCTTAATCCCACTACGTGGGGTCGGCTACATGAATCCTTTTTCTCCATTGCGTCCTATTTAGTGTCATATTTTCATTTAGTTCTAGTAAATTAAGATCATTTTTAATACAATAAGCCCAAGTCTTCCTAGGTCTACCTCTGCCTTTCTTAACACAAGTCGAATTTAAAGCATCTACTCTCCTAATCGGATCATCTAATGGTCGACGTTTAATATGACCAAACCATCTAAGACGACTTTCTCTAATTTTGTCTGTCACAGGAGCTACACCAACCCTATCACGAATATATTCATTCCGCATTTTGTCTCTAAGTGTAAAGCCACTCATCCACCTAATCATTCTCATCTCGGCAACACTTAACTTATTATTATGCTTCTCTTTTAAAGGCCAACATTCAACGCCATAGAGCATTGCAGGTCTCACCACCATCTTATAAAATTTTCCTTTCAGTCTAAGCGGTACTTTTCTATCACACAAAAGGCCCGAAGCATTCCTCCACTTCAACCAACCAACTTGAATTCTACTATTAACATCCCCATCTATATCACCATCGCTTTGGACAACGGACCCAAGATATCTAAATCGTTCACACCTTTTAATAATTTGATCAAACCAACTTATTAAACCAAATAACAATGAAAAAATAAATATTATTACCAACTTCCAATAGAAAATTACAACAAACAAACATAAATCTGAAATTGCAACAAACAACAACACAAATTCACCCTAGGATTAGATCCAGAGGTGGTAGTGGTCAGCAAAGTGAATTGGTAGGGACAGCAGGCTGCTGAAAGAGCAGAAAAACAGCAAGCTTGTTGTTTTCTAGATGATGGCAGCGAAGGAAAGGGGGTGGCAAAGGTAGGGATGGCTGGAACAGCAGGAACCCGCAAAAAGAAGAGAGTTTGTGTAGTGGCAGCAAAGTTGGATGACTAGATAGTAGCAAGAAACAACAGTTGTTATTTGGACGGCAGCAGCAAGATAGGAGGGATTGAATAGTAGGAAATCAGCAAGGGGATGTGGTTTTGGGTGGTGGCAGCAATGGAGGGAAGCAAAGGAGGGAATCGGGAAGGATGGGGAAAGGTAGAGAAAGGATAAATCACTATTTCAAGAGCGAGATATAGCGGGAGCACTACTCAGACCCTTCAAAACAGCCTTAGAAGGTTAAACCAAAGAAGTCGGCAGCTGTCTCAAACAAACACACGCAAAAACTAACTTTAATACATTATGAAAGCAAATTTATAATAATAGAATAACTAGGGGTGGGCCGAAGGGACTGGACGTCACTCCACACTAAGGAAAAGTCTAGATGAACCACTCCAGACAAGCAGGCCCTCCGCCCGCTTTCAAACACGGAAAGCATTCCGCCTGCTTTCAAACGCCCCGCGTCAACACACTGCTGCCCTAATTTCCCCTTCATTTTTGCTCGTTCATGTTCCGCTGGCCCCTTCTTCTCTACTTACCGCATGAGTCCACGCTTCGTCTCCTCCTAATAAATTTAGCATTACAAAAAGGATAAAATGTAAAATCTGGCGATAGCTTAAGCCATAATAGTTAAATCATTGTCTGCATCAAAATTTTGATGTCCTTAATTTTCATAAAATTTACTATCATGCACCCTATAAAATCTAAATTGATTATTCCTACCATAATGATTGTTGTGCTCATGAACATGTCAACATTAAAATAAATGGTTTCATAATATTATGATTAGATTCAACTTATGCGTCATGTGCATGAAATTAATTATTTTCCAAGCTCCAATTCACTACCTAGCATAATTGATATCACTCAATTTTGTTTATTTACAAGTTGAGCCATTTGATTTTACAAAGTAGTCAAAATCTCATCCTTTCAACGAACTGTAATTGGCCATACCCATTTCAAATTGCCGCAATAATAAAAATTTAAAGTCTACCCGATATAACGTAAGAAATCAAAAGATCTAGGTTTTTAAATGCAATTCAATGATTTTATGAACGAACATCGAGAAATTAATGTTGACTTCACAATTTAAAGACAACCCATTAAAGTATAATTTGTTTTCTTTTGATGCAAATCAGAATTTACATGACATTTATACATCTTTAAAATAGAAATTAAGAGAGAACTTCTAAAGTACAATTCAATTAGGATTCACTCCACAATAAGAAGACAATTATAAATGGTTTTCCTAAAACCAATCAAACAAGCCAAACTAATAATGAATTATCTAGATAAAAAAGAAAATGGCAAGGAAATCATCAAATAAAAAAATATAAAACTCACATTGATACAAAAAAATGACCTCGAAAATTTATGGTTATTTGCACAGCACTCAAATGAATTAATATCAAACAAAGCACACAAGCTTGAACCAGAAAAAATTTTTATTAAGCCAACAAGCCCTCTAATGCATTACTCAATTGTCATAGCTAGAATATTCCAAAATTTATCTTTAGACCCTGTATCTAAACCTACTTGAGGAGAATAAACGCTTATAATATTAAAAATCTTAGTATCAATGATAATCTTAAGGGCTATAATTCTATCACCAACTCTATTAATTTTTACAACATTATCTTTCAAACTCTTATCTATAATTACACCTACACCATTTCTAGTGCGACTCTTACCAGAATACCAAAGTTTAAAACCTAAATTATCAATCTCCTTAGCCTTTTCTCCCACCCACTTAGTTTCTTGAATACATAAGATATTAATTTTCCTATGAATCATAATATCAACTAATTCCATTAATTTACCATTGAGAGTGCCTATATTCCAAGATCCTATCCTAATATTAGTTTCATTAGTTTCATGGACTAACTTCTTTACCCGCATTCGCCCGTAATGTGGGAACCCTTGCTTATTTAACACTACACCCGGGCGCCGGTGTAGCGGCCCTTGCACACTTTTCACTGTATTCAGGCTATACAGCGCGTCGCTTCCAGGGGACGCCCTAGCACTTACACACTGATCAAAAGGATTCATGTCATGATTTTTTCGACAAGTTTTACGCTGGCTGTCGACTACCTAACGCAACCCTCCACTTTTCTCATCCGGGCTTGGGACCGGCAACGGCAGTGTTACAATATTGAACGAGCTTGATTGGAAAAAAATGTGTCCTTGAGCATGTGAGTGCGTAGTGTTAGTACTAGTGATTTTTTTTAAGAGAAGTGGGAAAAAAGTTCAAAAGTTAGAAAACTATGCTAAATTTCCTTAAAAAAACCTAGACGAGCACAAACATCATGTTGCTCCTATAGTCCTATGGCTAGAAAAGTTGTTTTAAGTAGAACTGCCCTCTTGTAGGTTACTGGAGATTAGTTAAAGAAGTTGAAAATAAATGAAAAGGGTTTATTTGTCTGTCATGAACACATGACGTCTCCTTTAAACACGGATACTTTGTTGGCTTTTAGGCTAACACATTTTGAAATCAGTTATACCAAATTGTTTTTACCATATCTATGAGTTTATATAGGGAAGACCTACCCTTGTTGGAGATTTGAATTACATCATTAGTGTTATGCTGCACGTGCTCATACGGATCATAACATGATTATCCAACACATGAGTTTCTTTCCAGTCATTTGTTTGGAATCATATTAGCACTCAAGTTTTCCTAAAATAGTTATCTTATTGGATTAAATTACTCAAATAATTTTAATAGCCGTATTTATATTTGTTTACACCAAATTCATACTTTTTAAGAGTACCTTCTGGTTATGATGTTTCTATTTTTATGATACCACTTCTAGAAAATATATCTACATTGGCAATTGAACCTCTTCCTAATATGATATTCAAAATAATTATCATGACAATATTATTGTTTTGGACTTTTTGTAGATTATTACTGGTTCTGAAGATGGCACTGCGAGGGTATGGGGTAAGTATAATGTTTTGTGCGCATTGCGTAATGATAAATTTTGGTTTCTCTTTGGATGGATGAAGTTGGTTATGCTTTGAAGATCTAATTAATATGTGATATTGGGCATGTTTGTTTGTTATTTGAACGTAAAGATGCTATTCTTGAGATATTACACATTCAGATGCCATTTTAGCTGCTATGGAATCTACATTCTAAACTATAAGGATGTGTTTAAGTATACAAATTATGATTTTAAGAGCCTTCATCACTTTAGTGCTCTTATCTCCATTGATTGAGGCATAGATTGATAAATCATTAAGTGGTAATTTGGTTTATTGCAAAAGGAGGGCACTGTAGTCTTTTTATAAGAGTTTCAGAAATTTGGGTGTTTAATTGGATGAAATTCAAATGTAGTGCCAAAATTATAATGTATTCATTCTTTAGTTCATTTTTTATGTATTTGGAATTCCCTTGATTTGAGTGAATTTCAAATGCACCACTTTGTTTAAAATATTCCTCATTGCTGATGGTCGCAGCCATTGCCGCACACAACTCACAACCACTGGCTGTCGCAGCTACCCCATTGCCTGTCACTACCCACTACCAGCCTTGCGCAGTTGGCCCAATCCTTATGTGTTGCTACCCAAAACTTGCTCTTCGCCGCCTAGCGTTTCTTTGCCTGTCGCCGCCAACCCTCGTATAGCTTTGCTCTTTCTAACCATCAACAGTTGGTGTCCGTCGCCAGTAGCCCGTCGACAACCGTTATCACGATTGCCTACTAACTAAATATTTTACTTTTATAGTGCATTTCTTTTGCGTTTGATTACTTTTTCAGCAAGTTAAACGACTCTAACTACAATATTTTAGTTATAAATTAGGTTTCATTGTGTATCCAGTTCCCTTGAATCACTCGATCTATTTATTTCTATATGGTCTATGCCGTTTATTTTGAAAATTATTATATATATATATATATATATATATATA